TATCTATCTATCTATCTATCTATCTATCTATCTATCTATCTATCTATCTATCTATCTATCTATCTATCTATCTATCTATCTATCTATCTATCTATCTATCTATCTATTTAGTTATTTATTCATCCATTTTTTGATATTTTATCTATTTAATCATCTGATTGTTGACATATTGATTTACTTACTGACTTATTTCCATCTCCCTGTTTGATGATGCTTGCGGCTGCATTTCTGCCCGACCTTTGACCTCCCATCCTTCCAGGTTTGAAGTCTGAAGAGGGAGCTGGCAGCAGCTCATCACTTACAGTCCTCCCTGATTCCGGCTGATGCCTCTCCATTAGGCCTCTGCTTTGATTTCAGATTACATTACAGTCTGCGTCCTGTCCTCTCGGCCGGGGAAATGAAAGGCCCCACGTCCTCGTTAGTTTGTTCCCCGGCCTTTAAAACCGCTCCGCTCCTGCCTCGGGAAATTGGATAAATAGCTGCAAACTACATCCAAATAAACAACTTTTTCCATCGACTTTAGCATGTTTTAATGACCCAAAAGAATATCTCTGTCCTCACAGCAGAGTTGATTTATTTTGCTGCCATCTGCAGGGCACAAAGAGGTATTGCAGGCCAGAGGATTTCATAATGAATGATGATGATGATGAAAAGTGAAGGGAGCAAATAAATTACATCCAGTTTCCATCTGCACAGTTAAACAGAAGCTTTTTCAGGCTGGATTCAAACATTCAGAGTTGGGTTCTGTCTGACGTCTTCAGGAAGTCTGATCCAGGTTTTAGGAGCATGGAGCTGAAATGAAGCCTCACCTGGTTTAATTCTGACTCTGGGCCCCATCAGGAGACCAGAACCTGGTTTAGTTCTGACTCTGGGCCCCATCAGGAGACCAGAACCTGGTTTAGTTCTGACTCTGGGCCCCATTAGAGACCAGAACCTGGTTTAGTTCGGACTCTGGACCCCATTAGAGACCAGAACCTGGTTTAGTTCTGACTCTGGGCCCCATTAGAGACCAGAACCTGGTTTAGTTCTGACTCTGGGCCCCATTAGAGACC